AGGGAAAGAAAGACCACGCATTTGTTTGAGCCCTAGGCGTGATTTAAGGAAAGCACGTAACTGCTTGTTCCTTGTTGAATTTGTCTTAAATAAAATATTCATGCAAATTAGGAGCTAAAATAGCTTCTCTATAATAACCAATCCTAGTTTGAAAATTCTTTAGATGATGAACCCACCACACATGCTATGCGATGCATAGTTATAAATAGAATAGAACCCAATCACACGTCGAATCAATTTCACATCAACGTATATAAGTGACCAAATTAATTGAGCGCAATTGATGGTGCACAAATTATGATGTGTAGTGACAAATTTCAGCAATGGGTAGTGTCGTAATTTGTGGTGAAATTAGAAAGAGATGATGAGAATGTTGAAAGAGAAGGTGGAGAAGGTCAAGTTCGCACGCAGTTAGCTATAACTGCATGTTTTATCTATCATAAGCTACTTAGATGAGAAGAGGAAAAGGATCACGTTTTTGAACAAGTTTAGATTAGGATTACAATTTCATTTTCGGAACTGTTTCAATAAATAGTAAAGCTGCTGAATGTGGATAAAAAAGTTAGGTCCATTGGTTATTCAAAAGCTATGTAGTGTATACCACTGTACACAGATCCAGAATTTAGTATTGATGATTTCACCATCTTTCAATTAATACATTAATATCACTAGATGATTATGTAAAAGGAACAAAAACTAGTGAACCCCCATAACTAGAATTGTGATTCACTTGCAAGTCAGTCCTTTGAAAATTTTGAAATTCCATTGTATTAATTATTTTGGTCTGAGATCATCTCTTGTACTATTAAATTATTAATGTTATATATTTTATGATATTTCAAAAGATAATTTATTTAATAAAAATTTAAACTTAAAGTTTAAATTGGCTCATTAGGTACACCGGTATAAATCAATCTCTCTCACACACTTCTTTTATAAGTTAGTTTTTCATCGAACCACACCATGAACAATGGGATTAATGTAGATACATAATATTCTTGATCTCTCTTCCATATATTATATATGATGATTTAATATGTTATAATTTGTATTTATATACGATTTGAATATTCTAAGATTGCATTAAATATTTATCTCTATAAACACTAAGGACCCTTTATTCTAGCTAATATGCAAATAACTTTGAAAATATTAAATGTGCTTATATTATAAATAATCTTGTCTGTGCAACTAGTCACCCTTTGATAAAATTGATATAAGAGGACAATTATTTGGATACAATGACCTCCTTAACCCAATAAACTAGGGTGTGTCTTTAAGATTATTCAGACTCGAGTATGAAAAAATTCCAACAATGCATCTATTACAAATATATCTGTAGTTTTCAAATTCTTATTTGAGACGCATCAATCCACCTAAAACTAATAACACCCTGGTTATTGTAACACGTGTAAAAAGAATTATAAAATTTAGGATTATTTTTATACTTTAGATACAATTAAGTATCTAATATCTTATAATAATTGTTATATCTTTTTATGTAAAGGGGTGATATTTTGAACTTAGATGATTATTATTAAAAATATAATCATGTACAATTTAATCTTAGAAATTATTTGTAAAGTTGTACACATATGCTCCATTTTTGAACATCCTTATTTGTTTGAGAAAAATATAGTAAAGGTGGAAAAAAAAACTCCTCCAGGAGCTCAACGTCATATAACAAAATTATGCCAAGGAAGAAAACATAACTAAGGCTTTTGCTATTTACACCCTCTATTTACTAAGTACATCTTTATTTCCTTTTTTTAAAAATACATTTTTTAAAATACCTTTTTATTTTCCCCTTTTCTTGGGGGTGTAACAACTATTTTGTCTCTTCTAGAAATATTCATCTTCAGGTGATCCCTTTTTCTTCCTTTCTTTTGAAATTGTTCCTCTCTGATAAACATTTTTTCTTCCCTTCTTTCGAAAATGTTCTTTTTGATGAACTGTTTTTCTCTCCTTTTGAAAACATGCTTAATTTTTGGGTGACTCCTTTCAAGTACGCTCTTCCTCTTCCAAAAAATCTTTTTGTTTATTGTTTATCTTCAAACTAAGTACTCATCCTATACATAAGATACATGACTCTTGGAGAAAGTTTCCTTAGGAGAATTCTCATATTCATCACCAAAAATAGGAAAACATGATCAGCAAACCTAAAATAATGACAATTGTTTCGTAGTCATTCTCATTAGGATAATTCATAACATTAACCATGCTTCATTACTAGATCTTATTTGCCCTTTGGATAAACTATTAACTTGTCTTTATATGCTTCACATTTTTGTTGATTTAAAATATGACATAACAAATTAGAAGAGTTAAGAAATACTACTTACACTGCATTGATTTCTTCAAAATATTGCCTTTAGTTATTATAATTATATAGGTATCTTATGTCATTGATAATCAATTATAATGTTACATGATTAAAATTTAAAGAATAATGAATATAGGGTTGATGATAATGATTCAAAACTAGGGTTTTAAAAATAAAAAAACATGTGGTGCAAATATAGAATTAAAAGTATAATTAATATGAAGTGAAAATATAATTTATAAGAATATATTTGGTAATAATAATATAAAAAAAAGAGGTAAGAGGTGTAAGATGTAAATAGGTCATGTATTTGTATGAAAGAATTGAAGCCCAATAAATAGGTCACAGGCCATTTTTTTTTTAATCTAGTAGACCGATATATCTAAACTGGCATGTTTTCATATCCTTTTACTCCTCGTTTGAGATTATTTAATTTAATTAAGAAAAATTCTACATCTTCTGAATTGTCCGAAACGTATTCTAAACGTTTAAAAAAATAATTTAAATTATAAAATATTAAATCAAATAACTATTTAATAATAAATTTATTACAAAAATTAATATTTTAAAATATTGAACTGTACTTTGTTCCGACTTTAAAGATATAGTAATCCTCTTTAATTAATAGAATACTTTAATATATTTATTATTATGAAATTATTAATATAACAAATCAAAATTACCGATAAATAACTCGTGTTACTAACATTCTGAAAAATATCAATCATTAAATTTTTTTTTTTGAATTAGAGCATTGATTGTCAAAAATTACCGAAGTTGAACTGCTTATGAATCTACATTAACATAACAATTTATTACTATTATATACTAATAGAATTGTTTGTTAATTTAACATTTTTTATGGTTAGTATAAATTTTTAATCTCCTCCATACTAACAGTTAAACTTGGTCAACAAAAACTAAGATGTTAATCTAACACTAACGTGTTAGTATGTGACATTTTTTTTATAGTAAAAATGAGGTGTTAAAATAAATAAATATATCAAATAATGTTTGAATATGGCATTTTTTATAGTGAAAATGAGATTTTAAAATAAATAAATATTATATTAATATATAAAAGGAATCTTCCTTTTAGCAATTATCTTGATTTTTATATCTAGTATATCAATATATCCTTTTTATTATTAAAAAATAAAAAAATTAATAATTTTATTAAATCTAATATTTGAACTCAAAATTTTAAGATTGAAAAACAAATTATAACACAAGTTAAATCAACGTAATTTTATTATTTAATCTTATTTTTTATTTTATTTTGAATAGGGGGACTCCACTAGTATCAAATGATTAAGTTACTTTTAAAATGTATATTATGATTTAACATATATAATTAGATTAATCGTGATTTTAAATAAAAATAAATTTTATTAAAAATTTTAAAATATAAGTAATTTAATTTATAAATAAAATAAAATTTGTTTATGAAGTTTAAAATTATTTGTTTTCAAAATATAAGAATTTAAAAATTTAGAAAGATAATGACCAAAATATTGAAAAATGATAATTTGGAATTATCAAGACATAAAAAAAAATAGTAATAAACAATGCCAAGGATAGGTGATCCTTTCTGTATTTATAAATTTTCAGGAAAGTTTTCAAATAATATTTTTATTTGATTATAATTTCTGTTTAATAAATTCACTTTAAATTGACGATTTTACAGAAAAGAAAATATGTTCAAACTAATTATTACCTACTATTTTCATTAATTAATTACGTACTATTTTTACTAATTAATGTTTTGCCATCAGAGTTTGGCCTGACAAACTAATCTTAGGTGGCTGTATTCTAGTGGTCCATGAAGGGATTACAATTTGCAAGGAGATAGGATTCCTCAGTTGGAAATATTGAGGAAAAAGTGTTACAACTTTTAGTTTCAGTTATCTTTCCCTTCTCTTCCATTTCTCAAAGTCAAGTTACTCATAACACAGTGATGATAGCTCAGTAATCTAAATGGCTGCTACGTCCTGTAACTTCACCCAAGCTTCTGGTTTCAACAAACTCCAAGAGCAACTTCAGCTGCAGAGCTACTTCAAAAGGCAAGTTCCCTCTTCAGTCTTCTCTGTCCATCATCAAAAAATGGGACAGTAAAAGATGAGTAAGTGTCTGAGTGAATTGTTTTTGTAATGCTGGTTGATTTTCAGGTGCCATCAAAGATCAGCGTTTGGTGTTGAAAAAGTCTTCCATAGGAGATATAGAGGGTGGTTGCAAGTTGAAAGATGGCATCGGTATCAACATGTGTCATGTGCAAGAGTTGAGGAATTAGCCCCTTCTGTCTTTGAAGAAAACGTTGGAGAGGAAACTGAGGAGGATATTTCGAAGGAAACCTTGATTTGGAGAGCCATCAAGTTGCCAATTTACTCTGTTGCGTTTGTTCCTCTCACTGTGAGCTTCTGAACTTTTAAGTTGTGCATGAGTAGAATAGAGTTAGGTTTCTTTGATGCATGAGTATGAGATATGATGTCACATTGTGTACAATTTGTGGACGTGTGTTGGGAATTTTGAGTGAGAGTTAGTTGTGGATGAATAAGTGGGAAGATTCACTGATTTCTTCTTGGCAAGTCCTATCAGGAACAACCCAAGTCCCACTAGCCTATCTTAGATTTTTTAAAAGGGTCATCCACCAGTTATCCATGCACCGAATTTAATAATACTGTATGAGAGAGTGTATTGGAAAAAAATTCAAATTTCAAATCTAGATCAAGATACAATATACAAGTGGGATAATTCTCACTTTACAAATTGGTTTATAGAGTTGAATTAGGCTCAAATTCACATTTTAAAAAGTTCATTGGATGCCATAATATAACAATGTAATAGAATCCACCGGATGCACAGCCTAGAGTTTTGGGCTTCCCCTGGCCCTAACAATGAGTGCATGCAGTGTTTCTGTATGTGGATTGTGCAGTGAATCGCTATTTCTCAAATAAATATATCAGCACAAATCTCAACTATAGTGTCTTATGTAGTTAGTGCTAAACATAGTTAATAGAATTTGGTCTTTAAGCAAGCTCAAAGAAAGTCCTGTGATTCATGTAACCAACCTCACTAGCGAGATAAGGTTTTCCGTTGTTGTAGTAACATACTAACATAATTACTTTAAGAGGGAGAACCTTGGCATAATGGTAAGGTTGTTGCCTTGTGACCTGGCTCAAATCTTGTAAACAGTCTCTCTGTTTATTGGGGAAGACTTTGTACCTAGGTGGGGTTAAGGTAGATTCCCATGCACTTCGTCCCCCTATTTTAACATATTAAGTTACTAGAGAAGATTTTCCTCTATTGTTCATCCTTGCCTCTATGATCTTAATGTTGAACTCATTTCCATAGCTTATAGTATTGAATCAGAACTTATCGTATTTTTTCTTTGGGAATTCATGTCATTTTAATTTAAGCAATGCAACAATGTTATCTTTACTTCTTGATTTCCACGGATAGGTAGGCAGTGCAGCAGCCTATTTGCAGACAGGGATATTTTCAGCTAGATGTTATTTTGTTCTCCTGGCTTCTTCAGTTCTAGTAATTACCTGGCTCAATTTAAGGTAAGTTTCAATACTTTTTGAAGGATGGAGTGAGTGAATATAAAATAGATATAAATGATTGTTCAACACCACGAATCTAACTATTTATAAATTATTTTCTTAAGTATATAATATAAGTTGCTTCCAGTAGCAACTTCTTCATCATTAGAAATTTTGGTAGCCATAATAAGTAAAATATAAACTTCCATTCTCCAAATGACTGGCTTGATATCTATTGAAAATTTGTAATAACATCATTGACATGGACGCTATCAAAATGTCCTCCATAATTCTTGGAACATTCTATTAAGTTCTTGTCCTTAAAACAGTGATAGGAAAGCTGACAATGACCACAAAATGATATCTAACTTGTTACTTTGCTAGCTATTATTTTCAATTTTGTGATCATCAGTAATAATCCATCCTAGGAAAAAGATGCTATCTCTCAATTGAATGCATTTTACTCCACCTCCCCCTTCATTCCTCCTATGCATCACATCACTCTTATCAAAGACTTCCAACGTTCTTAAAAGGAATATGTTAATTTTTCTTTAGTTAGTAATTTCTAATGTGTGGCCATGACAGCAATGATGTTTATGATTTTGACACTGGAGTTGACAAGAACAAAAAGGAATCAGTAGTAAACCTGGTTGGTAGGTGAGTTTTTCTCAGTCTTATTGGTGTTTTTCTATTTTCTTTTGCTTTTATATTTTATATTAAGAAATAACTCAATTTGTTTATTCCTTATGTTGAATTTGGAAAGCCGTACAGGAACCTTCATTGCTGCCTACTTGTGCCTTGCTCTTGGCTTCACCGGGCTGACTTGGACAGCTATTGTCGAAAGAAACTTGCGTTCAATATTGTTTCTTGTTTGTGCAATTATTTGTGGTTATATTTATCAGGTAGAAGTTTCTGTTAACATCTGAATCATGTTGTAAAGTTATTCAGAAGTCATTAACTTCCAATTTCTGTGCTTGGCCCTTTGCTGTTGTAGTGTCCACCATTTCGGTTAAGCTACCAAGGCCTAGGAGAGCCCTTATGCTTTGCAGCATTTGGTCCTTTTGCCACTAGTGCTTTTTATTTATTACATGGCAATGCAAGGTTACCTCGCTACCTAATTAGAATGTCGCATAATATTTGATTTTTCATGGTTTTGATTCTGAATGATTTGGACAGTGCAATGAACCATTTCCCCTTAAGTGGAACAGTTCTTTCAGCATCAATTCTTGTTGGATTCACAACATCTCTTATCTTGTTTTGCAGTCATTTCCATCAGGTACTTTCGTTTCTGTAATTGAAATATAATTTCTGATTTTGAGTAACTTGATTAAGTGACATGTTTTTATGCACAACATAGGTGGAAGGGGACAAGGAGGTTGGCAAAATGTCACCTTTGGTACATGCACTTTCTTTAATTGAATATTTTTCTTATCCATGTTAATGATGTGAATCTACCTGTTACTTATTTTCCATTGCTCTTTCAGGTTAGGCTTGGCACTAAAAAAGGTGCTGAGGTAGTGAAAGGGGCAGTCTTGATGCTATATGCTCTTTTGGTTGCTTTTGGTCTAAGCAAGGCACTTCCTCTCCCTTGTATAGTATGTGCTTCTAAACCAACACTTTTGCATCTCATTTCCAATTTCCCCTTTCTTTATAGGTATAGTATAGTTACTATTCTAGACCATGTGCTTATGATTTATTCTTTTGGTTATGAACATGATTGTACTAGTTCCTTTGTGCATTGACCTTGCCGATGGGAAATCTGGTAGTTAGATTTGTTGAAGACAATCACAAGGCAAGTGAAAAACTGTTGATGAGTCTTTTGTTCCCTTGGTGTTTTTTCCTGTAGTTAGCTATTAAACCTAAGTTGTATTTTTACAGGACAAAAATAAGATTTTCATGGCTAAGTACTTCTGTGTGAGGCTGCATGCTTTGTTTGGAGTTGCATTGGCTTTAGGACTGGTAGTGGCTAGAATGCTTAGGACAACATTTGCATCAAGGCCAATATTGAGTTGAAGATTGGCTTGTGGAAAGAGAAAGTAATGTGCAATTGTGCACTTAGGGGAGTGCTCAACAGCCATAAGATTTGGCTCATGAACACATTTTCTGAAGAGGGTTTTAAAACAATTTCCATTTTCTTCCCCTTTCCGGGGCCAAATAAGCTTGAAGAAAACTGCATGACACTGATACCAATCAAGAGTTGTGTGCACCAAGCTTATCTCATCAATCTTAACAGGTCAGGAGATGATTCCACTGCAGGCGCCTCACTTTTAACTTTCACTGATAACCCCTATTTGATAGCAGCATAGCAAAATTTGCTGCTAAGAATTTTTGTTTGAAATCAGACACATGTTAATTCTTTTATAATTGTCATGAAACTTCACAAGTTACAACGGAAATTTGATTTAGTGGTTTACCATATTTGGAATAAGTTTTTGAATGAAAAGAATTGGCAGCTGCAATTGGAAAGGAGATAAAGAATAAAGAGCGAAATCTTTTTTATTTCCTAATTAAACCAACTCCTTTTAGAAGCTATATGTAAATTGCAAAAGAGAATTTCTCAAATGTATAAGCTTCTACTATTCATGATAAGGTAAGCATTATATAGAGTTGGAAAGAAAGGAACAACTAATTCTATCATATTTAAATTTTATCTGACATTCCAATCATCTTTCTTTTTTTCTTTTTTACAATGATGTTCTTGAATAAACTTTTAACAAGAAGTTCAATTCTACTGACTTATAGCATATTTGGTTCGAATAAATGGAAGACACTCTTTTATAACTTTGACGTAAATTTACAATTCAACGTGAAAAAAATGGAGGAATGCGTAGTCACACATTTAACCTAGCTTGAGATTCTGCAGAGTTGATTGTTCTTGCAAACTTTCACTAATCTTTTGAGCTATTGAAATCTATTTAAGTGATTAATTTTTTTCTAACAAATATTTTTTTACACACATACCAAGGATGAAATTTCTGATCACATAAGCAATAAGATTACCTACTAATTGTTACACCTTTATGGTAGTGTTGAACACTTGAGCTTAGTATGCAAAAAGAAATGTTTACATGCAGTTCAGGTAGATGGGAATTGGAAATAATAATTAGATATTTTTCGATTTTAAGTCACATTGTCCATATCAATACAAATGAAAATATCTCACAACTTCTTACCTCTTAGTACACACGTTAAAAAAAAAAAAAAAAAAAAAAAAAATCTTAAATATTTGTTATTTCCGTCTATGACGGATCCCAAATACATTACGGTACAACATTTTTTAATTCAATTATTACATAGGCTAAAATAGACTCTGTTTTTTTTTTATTCATAATTTTTATTTTTTTATTTTAAATTATAGACATTTAAGTCTTCTAATTTTAAAAATATAGAATATTGGTCCTTATGTCAAATTAGCATATATTAATTGTTAAGTTTAATGTTTATACAAATTTAATAACATGACATTTGAAAATAAAAGGTTAAATATATATATATTTTTTTATTAATAATATAAATACCAATAACTCATTAAAATATATTTAAACAAAAATATTTTGTATATTATTTTTCAATTTTTATTCTTAAATATTATGTCACTAAATATTTCATTATTTAAATAGTTTCAAGTTACTAAATATGTGAAAATTTAACCATTAAACATCAAAACATTAGGAGCAAAATCCCTTATTTTTAAAATAAAGGATTAAATATTTTTATTTAAATAAAAAAACTAAAATTACAAATTGACAATAATACAAGAATCAAAATCATAACTTAACCTATTATATATTTATTGACATCCGATTAAAAAATGATCTAGGCCCATTATTAGATATGGCTCTGTTAGAGAAAAAAAAAAGAAAAAAATAAATAGTGAGCTTGTGACTAATGCTAATTGGAGTTTAACAAGCAAGCTCTTGTTGGTTATAAAAAAATATAATTTTAATTTTATTAGTATAATTTTTAAAATAATTATTATAAAATTCAACGACCATTTGTGATATAATGGGTCATGGTTGATAAAATTTGTGACTTGATATGTGCTGAGAGATCGAAATCCATTAAAAGATATTCATTATTCAACGAGAGCCCATGTATACCATTTACAAATAAGATGACACATGGGTGACGTAACATGCTAAATCTAAATGAGGTAGTGAAGAGCAAAAAGGGCTCCTCTTGATCGGTTCTCCTTGTTCTTCAAGTTAGACACGCTAACATAAAATTCTTTTCTCAAACATCCTATGATTTCCCTTTTTCTGAGTATTGTTATTCAGATTGGAAAAGGAGAAGGGGTGGGAGAGAAAATTAATGTACATATAAGAAAAGGAACAAGCACATGTAACGTGAAACATTAAGTGTAACATATATAAGCATAAAAATGTGGGTGTTTTATATGTTCTCATTGCCCGTGACTGTGGGCATGGTGATTGTTACATTGAAATATTTCTCTGGACCTGATGTGCCCAAATATGTGTTCTTCACCGTTGCATACACCTGGTTTTGCTCCCTTTCCATCATCATCCTTGTCCCTGCTGATATATGGACGGTATTTCTTTACTTATTTGTTAAATGATTATCAATTTCTTCCCTTTTTCTTATTTATATTTCATATTTTCTCTGTGGGTTTGTCATAGGAAATAAATGGGGTATAATATTTACATTGTGTTGGACTGCATTAGTTTGAACAGAATGATGTTATAGTTATGTATAGTATTTTTGTAGTTTCTTTCATATGACATGAGACAGGAGATAGAGTTATAAATTCATGTGATCATGAATTTCCATTTGAGTATATTTTATGTCTTTCATTAACGGCTATTTTATTTTTTTCATATTTGATTCATTGCAACCTGGTTAAGTCATTTCCCTTCATTGATAGGCACTAAATAATGATGAAAATGGAGCAATTTCTTTCTTGTGGAGTTTATCATATTGGAGTACCTTCTTACTTACATGGTAAGTTGTTTCCCTTTTATAAAGCTCTTAATAATCTTGTTCTCAACAAACCTTGTACCCCCCTAATAGCATTTTGATGTTTATATATGCTTCCATCATGTCTTCTACACAAATTCAAATTGTTCTCAAGCTACATATAGTTTCCTTGTTATTTATAAACTTAATTGTACTTTTGGCCTCCTATGTATGGTATTGTGCAATTTTGATTCCGAGGGTGTTCTAATTACACTAATTGGGTCCTCCAAGTATTGCAAGTGTGCAGTTTTGATCCCTCCACCACTCTTATCTTAAATATATAACAGATTTTGCTGACATAAAACTAAATGATAATATGTCAGCTACCATGGGCTTATTGCACTTTTGGTCCCCATGATTCACAATAAGGCACCAAAATGTAGTTAAGCCATGTCTACATAAGTGTTGAGTAACACATTTGTAGTCACATCATTGACATGCTATCATCTAGTGTCATGTGAGTCAAATTTGTTAAATATTTAAGATACCTGGAAGACCCAATTTGTGCAATTGAAATTTGAGAACCAAAATTGCACAACTACAGTAACCAAAGAATCCCAAAAAGTGCAATTAAGCCTTATTTATAACATGTTAAATATACAAATAAACTTTCATATGGAGGAAAGAAGTAGCAACAGCAGCTAGAAGACTGAGCATCTAATTTATTTCCATTACTTATGTAATTGACTGCATTTTCAATTTTACCATAAGATATCCTAATTGTATGAAGTTGTGTACGATATTGATATGATGTTTCTATTACTTCCCTTTGCTATACCTCTTGTGGGAGTCAATTAGGATGTTTATGATAGCTAGGCGAATAGAAATGCACACTCATAGTTTTGTATTAAATTATTTCTCTAAACAGGGCTGTGGTTCCCACTATTCAGGGTTATGAAGATGCCGGAGACTTTACAGTGAGAGAAAGATTGAAGACCAGCTTACACGGAAACCTTGTTTTCTATCTGTGTGTCGGTTCTGTAGCACTCTTTGGAGTGATATTACTAATTTCTTTACACAAAAATTATTGGTTTGGTTCTTTCTTTTAGATATATATTATCTTTCATTTATTTACTTGAATCATTGGATGTGATCCCTTCTTTTTGTTATCTGCGAATTGATTTAACAATTAATTTTATTGCTAACTTCCAAACTCAGTACACTGCCAAACTTTTAAATCATTGCAAGCTAAACCACTCTATTTTATGGTAAATCATTTGCAGGAGCGGTAATGTTACGGGTTTTGCCATGGCTTGCTCCAATACATTTGGACTGGTTACCGGTGCTTTTCTACTTGGATTTGGTTTGAGTGAAATTCCAAAGGGCATTTGGTTACATGCAGATTGGAACATTCAGCAAAAAGTTTTTTCACATACAGTTTCAAAAATGGCTGTCAAATTAGATGATGCTCATCAGGATTTTTCAAATGCTATTGTTGTAAGTTATTCACACCATTAGTCTATTGATTTTCTAACAATTGAATTTGCATTTTGTGTATAGTCTTCGGAATTTGCATTTAGTGTCTCTTGCTCTGGAAGTGGGATGGTTGTCGTGTACTTTTAAACTTTAAAGTATATTGATCAAAGTATTGTGCCCTGCAATATTAATCATAATTCTTGTTATGAATCCAATTCCAATTTTTTGCAGGAATATAATAAAACTGTTGAAAAATTTCTACATTCTTTCATCTTGATAAACAACATTCACTTTTCTTATATTTTACTAGGTATCACACCCATGTACTGAGATTTTATTATAAAATTTGGTGTGCATATTAGTCGATCAAATTTAATCTGCCTTGTAATGATAAAAAGAAATACTTTCTTTTTATCCTTTATTCTTTGCAGATATGATTTTTCATGGTGTGCCATTGTCAGATCACACAGGCAACATCAAAGCAAATGTCCAAGCGGGATTCTTTGAGACCCTACATGAATATAATTGACAAAATTTTGCTTCAGATGGTAAAGTCTTTAAATGTGCCGATGCAGGTATTTTGATTCTAAATGTTCTATTGCTACATGTTCATATAACCGGTTTTCCCAGTTGAAGGAAGACCCCTCCTTCAAACCACAGGGTGGAAGACTAGGAGAAAGTGACATGGATTATGATACAGATGAGAAATCTATGGCATCACTAAGACGCCGTCTTAAGAGAGCTCGTGACAAGTACTATCGATATAGAAGGTAGACACTGATTTGCTTGGTATAGAAGTTGGTACAAGGTTCTGAATTCTATAATTATGTAAATTTATACAAATCTAGGAATCATTTGGTGGGCTGTATGCAAGGCTCCTGTGGGAGTAAGTTTGTTCCTTAAATAAAATCCTTTGCCTTATTGAAATAGCATAAAACTACATGACATTTTGATATTTAAATTCACTATGGTTGGGAAAATATTGGTTAATGAGTTAGCCTCTTGTATATGTATGTGCCTTTGCTGTTTGTGTACATTTGGGGAACCTACAAATTTTAAGAAGCAAAATGATTTTTTCCTTTCTTTTTCTGCCCTTTTGCTATACACCCCAGTTTCCACATTAGATTCCCTTGCTATTTCATCAGAATTACACATCTTCTACTATAAAATAATGTGATGTCTTCATTTCACATGCCATTCATTACAACATACCATAATACTTCACTGAATTACTCTTGTTTTCGACATGCACATATTCTCTTCATGTCCTAAGTAAATTTGTTATCAATATTGTTATTATTATTATTATTATCATTATTATTATCTTTTGCAGTGAATATACAAATTTTGTCCTTGGGGCCCTTGAGCTGGAGGATTCCATAAAGAATTATGATCGTCGTGATGCTATAGGATGGTTTGTCTTAACATACACTTCTCATTGTTGTGTCTCTTTATCATCTCATTCCCATATTTTTTACAGCAGAAAAATTATGCCAATAGTAAGCAAACTATGTGAGCTTATATGATTCTTGTAGATTATTCTTCGATTTAGTTATATCATACATATCTTAGACAAAAGGTTCCTGTCCTGTTATCATGAAAGAAATTTTTTCTTCAAAACCATATGATTGAGGTTCTTCTACTAGCCAACAAACTTGAAAGTGACAAAGGGAGAGAATATCAGTGCTATTTATTATGAGATATATTCTAGGCTTAAGATACTAATTAGACTCTACCTTCCAGCCACACTCAGGTTTTATATTCATCAAGTGATATGCAGTAGGCTCTTTGTTTAAAGATATTTTTTCCATTCTTGCAGGAAATATATTTCATGCTTGAGGCCTGAACGCATGGGCAAAGTAGGTGCATTTTTGGATACAATTGGTACTTACCACTTATTATATTTATGTGCTCTTTCTCTTATTTTACTGGGTAATTTATATAATGTTTTCTTAATGTAAGAAAAAGTAAGATGTTACCCTACAAACTATCAGCTTATAAGTTAAAGTTGACTTACCAATGACCTTATGCTTTATAGTATTAAAAGTTAAAACTGATCGCTTTACATGTATCATATTAGAAATTAAATCTTCTGTCCCCAAAATAAAAGTTGTCTAGATGAGTACGCATCATGAGTGGTAATCTGTGTATGATAAAATCATAAATCATCACCATAAACATTCATCACTAGAAAGCCAATTTCTTTTCTTTTACAAAATTAATAGCACATATTTTCTTGTTAGGTACCATATATAACAATTATATCTTCCTGAAATGTTTATCACAGAGTTTCTATGGCGATGTATATTATGTAAACAGCTTGAGAAAGCATTGGCTGTCATTTTGGGCTGCATGTCATTTGCTATTTTATTAGCAGAGGCTACCATACTAACCAGTGGAGTGGATTTATCCGTTTTTTCTATCCTTGTACATGCTGCAGGACAGCAAGAGGGGCTTGTACAGGTAATTTTTGTAGACTTTTTCAATATAATTTTCTTTTAAATAAATTAATTTTCCTCTTAATTAAACTTTTTTTTTTTTTTTTTCTGTTAAGGCTATATTTTTTTTCTTAAATTTCGTATTCAACATTAGTTCACTTAGTAATTAGCATCATAAGTTAAGGATTGACCTTCAATTTAATACATAGCAATTAACACCATTAACAAATAACTTCATACAAGTGATGTTATTAGGTACCAGAAAAAATGATGTGGATCAGAGTGGAATGGATTAACTAACTTCAATTGTTTTTGGCTAAGGTTAAAGTCATAGGTAGGTCCATTCTGATGCCAATAAAACCTGAAGTAGGTTAGAGGCTTTTAGAAGGGAACTATTCTTATTTGTATAAGTATGTCTATTAGTAGTTTGCTTGCATAGAAGATAGAACAACTTTCCCTATGGCAATGAAGAAATTCCTATAAAAATTCACTGTTTAGACATCTAACTGCAACTTATGTTGATTCATACACGAAATGATTAATTTTCTTTTTTCATATATTCTTGACAAGTGACTATTGGATTCTTTTCCCAGTTAGCTGCTTTCATCCCCTTGATGTACATGTGTATTTGTACATACTATTCCTTGTTTAAAATGGGAATGATGATGTTTTACTCACTAACACCAAGACAAACAAGCTCAGTAAGCTTGCTTATGATATGCTCGTAAGTCACTTTTTTGATTATATTTTTGGTCATTTGTGTGAAGTATAAGTATTCTAAATTATTTGCCTATGTATCTCACTTCTTTTGTGTAGGATGGTTGCAAGATATGCAGCACCCATTTCGTACAACTTTCTCAATCTCATTAATATTGGTGGGGGTAGAAAAACCATTTTTGAAAAAGTATTTTACTACTTACTGGTACTTAATTGTTGTTCTAAAATTATGATGTTGTCACTGGTGTTCATAGGTAGCACCTATGACTATTGCAATTACAAGGAATGTTAGTGACATTCTCTCTAACATTCATTCTAATACTCTTTTGGTTATTATTACCTGAAATTTATTAAAAAACATAAATTTTGTAGAGTCTTGCATCTCATTTAACAAATCTGTTTTTTGATTTAGTGGTGATGCATCAAATTATATGATTGTTTGAGAGAAAGTATTAGTGAGGAAGTGTTACTAACATTTCTCTTGTTATTACATGATTTAACATGTATGATAATGATAAGATGTGACCCTTAGTTTCATTCATCATAGTACTTTTAGGTTTGTTAACATCAATCTTATGGGCTGATGTTAAGGATACAAAGGTATAAAATTTTTATTAGGAATAAAAGAAAATAAAATAACTTCTGCATTTTCAATGTAATGACTATTTTCTGTTCCAATAAAAACTTTCAAACTGTAGTATTCTTGACATCAGCCCTCGAGTGTTGATGCTAACAAAACCAAAATTTCATTTGTAACAGGTTTCTTTAAAATGAATTTGTCTCTAAATTGAGCAAGTGTGCTCCAACCCTTTAAATTTACCAAGTTGAGATCATGATACACTTTAAATCGTGGTTGGATACACTTGCTCACTTAAAAAATTTATGCAATGATTTAACCATCTGTCATTGCATGTTGTTTAGAGTCTCCAGTTAGCGAGCGATTGTTAATATAGCCTCACCTGATCATTGTAAATTACATTCCTTACCTCTTCCCAAAGATTGATATATTCTCCAGTGGTAATACTCAAACTTTTGTGCAGAAAATGGGAAAAATCAATGACGCTGTTCCCTTTTTTGGAAAAGGATTCAACAAAATTTACCCCCTCATCATGGTTATATACACATCACTAATAGCAGCCAATATTTTTAACCGGGTCATCCAGTACTGTGGGAATTGGAAAATATTCAAGTTGAAGGATGATGCAGAAGATATGGATGGATTTGACCCATCTGGAGTAATAATCCTGCAGAGAGGTGACTTAAAACCTTTTCAGTTACTATATTTAGCGACTCATTTTTTTTTTTGGCTCAAAACAATTGAGATTTTATTATGTAGTATTAACAGGCTTTAATATAAGGGTAAAATTAAGGTTAAAAAACAAAATTTTAAAATTAATTAGAAAAAGAATGCTAGGGAGACTCTCTCCAACACTTTCTTAACATCTCTCCATATTAACAATTTTTGTTCAAAATAAAGTAATTGATTACTTCTTTCTTGCATATTGTGGAAGTGTTCTCTAGCTAAAATCTCTAAATAAGAATATTGCTTAAAAACAATAACTAAATGATATCAAATTTAGAAGTAGACACACCTATGCAAAACCATTTTCAATCAATTTTGGATAACCATAGCCACCTGTTATTTAAGAACCACAACATCCTAATTTTTGGGGGTACTTCCACTATATTACATCCAAATTTATCACCTTACTCTTTCTCTTCAGAACGTTCTCTTCTCCAGCAAGGGCACAAAGTTGGTGAACTTGTTTTTCCTTTGGCAAGGAGTTTCAGCATGAGTATCGATCTTGAGTCCACCAACAAGGTTTCCATTCACATTATCTTAAATTAAATGCACATTCTTTACATTCTTCTATCATGTATCAAATTCATGGTTTTATTGGTGGTGCAAACCTAATAATTATTTAATTTGCAATTTAAGATGAGAAATATTTTACCATTGGTAACAAATAATATTAAGTTATCCATTTAGTGAAAAAATACATCACAATTAAAGATAAATTATGTACTTGATAAATTTTACACGTACAGAGTAAGAGAGTTACTTACCCAACAAATTTTCATAATTTTTCTTCTTAAAATTTTAGAAAGTGTGCCAATTTTAAAACTCATTCAAAATCCTTTTGGTATATATCTCACTAAATTTCCATTTTATGTATATTGGTCACTCACTGAACAAAGATTTGTTAAAGCAGCCTCACTATCACAAGGCTAGTCTTGTGTTACTAACAAACAACCACTCCTTCTTCAGGGTCTAAATGAGAGAGCCACTGGAAGTGATACTATCGACATAGTTGAGGAGAAAAATGAAGGCACCAAGAATGAGATGAGCAAAAAATTTGGCAGCAGAAAGTATTCAGCCTTAAGGACAAACCTCAATGAAGAGGTGTCTAGCAGTGATTTGACCCAGGAAAGTGTTTCTTCCTCCTTGGCAAGTGATTCTAATAATTCTCAGAACACAAGCTCAGCATCATCATCGGTATTAGCTTCGAAATGGGAATCAATGATGCATGGATTTAAAGGTTTAAGATCTAAAGTTGACTCCAAGGGATTCCTCCCTCTTAGTAATGCTCATGGTTCAACTCCAAACTCAAACTCTTCATTTGAATCCCTTGATGATATTTTTGAGAGATTGAAACGTCCTCCTTCAGAATATAGAGATTCTGGGGACTGAAATGATCAGAGTGAACTTCTGGGAATTGGCATTTGCAAGATATACATATCTTATTGTTATATAGAGATAATTAATCAGCAAATTTTCTCCTCTGAAAGAAGTGTGCCCTGGGGATAGATTTATGCTGAACTACATGAGCAGATATCAAATTGTGATGATCAATGATCATCAAGAGACATTTGGTATTTGTTGGTTCTGCAAAACAAAATGCATAGAATATGGAGACTTAGTTTGAAGAAAATGCTATAGGAATACACCTAGCATGTAATAGTAACTCTATTTAAGCAGCCATTCTGCTTATAAATTTTGTTTATAATGAGAATAAAGCTACTATTTCATATACAACATTTTGTAAAACTAAAAGAGTTTCTTCTTTTCTTGGTTGGTAAAATAAAATTAAGGGAAATAAAGGTTGTCTCGTTCATTGGTCACATCTGACCCATACATGAATGTAAAGTAGTAAATCCTCAACATGGTCCTTGAGTTTGGCAAATGTTGTGACATTTGCTCCTGAATTTGATGAACGAAAATGATGCATAGATACCCCATGTTAGAAACCTAAAGTGACAAAGAAATAGAAGAGAGAGTAGTATAGATGTGATAAGTGATATCAAATATTATATGAAAAAAGAGAGATAGAGAAATGATGGGTTTCAACAAGACGTTTGTATTGTTGGAGTGTCTATTTAGCACAAGTGCCTTTATGACACGCTTGGAATAGCCTTCATGCTGTACTCAATATAAACAAAAGTTTTGAATCATATCAACCATGCCTCCACTTTATGTTGCTTATGACTATTGTTTCTAGGGGCTCAAAAAGCTTTAGAATTCAAGAACAATGAAACAATTTTAAAACTTACGACTTTCGAGATTGCATTATACTTTTCTTTCTGTTGTTTTTTCGAACATCAGAGTCAGACCCTACTCGAATAGTAAATAGTGGAAGAGGAACACATCAAATAAAAAAAAAACATTATTATGCGTTATGATGAAAAGGAACACAACTACTCATTACATATGGCATCACAGCAAAATAATTATATTTATATGCTGATGCTAAAATATGTTTCTAGTCTTTTAATATAAACTTTTCGTCCTCAAATTTTAAAAATATTTTTTAGTGCCATAATTTAAAAAATAAAATTTAAGTCTCTTGAATCACATATTATGTTATTAATTAGGATTAAGATTTTAAAGAATTTTAAATTTTTTTATAATAAAATAATTTTATAATATTGAATCAAGACTTTTTTTAATATAAAAAATAATTTGATATTAATTAAAATAATTAAAAAAAATTGAGTTTTTTTTATTCAATTTCTCAATTTTTTTTTATTTTTTCCTTTTCTTATTCTCTCTCTTTTCTTCTCTTCTCCTCTCCAATCTCTCTTTCTCTCTTCCCCGTCTCCTCTTTCCTTTTCTCTCTCTTTCCCCCCTCCTCTCTCCCCCTTCTTATTTTGATCTTTCTCTTTTTTTCCTCTCTTTCATGTATCTTTTTTATTTTCTTTTCTTCTGTCTATTTTTTCTTCAATTTTTTTTTATCTATTAGTTATCAATAAAAAAATACTCCATTTTGACGACAAAAAATTAATGAGGGACTAAATTGAAACAAAAAAAGACTGTAAGGGACCAAATTAAGTTTTTAGCCTAAAAAAAATACTCCATTTTGATGTATACATTTTGTTGACTCTTCTACCCTTTTGCTTTTAAAACATTTATTTTCTCTCTCATGCTTTTATTCTATCTTTTCTCTATTTTTTCATATTTTTTCAAACTACTAAAAACTACTCACATGATCTAAGTATTAATTATCCACACATATTTAACTTTATTTTTATTTTTATTTTTAAAAAATACACGAAGTCACATAATGTTTTTTATGTTGGTACCGTTAATAATGACAATACATCTTTTCCGTATATACATTTTGTCAATTATTGTGTTCCTTGATTTCAAAAACACAATTTATCATCAATACTTTTTTATTACTTAGTTTTTGTTCTATTTTTTGTCTACTTTTTTATAAATTTATTTTTCAAACTTTTCATACATTTAAATAACTACTCAAAATTATTCATACTCTCAAATTATTAACCACTCATATATATTTTATTTATAATTTAGTCCCTTATCATCTTTTTTTGTTTTAATTTAGTCCCTCATTAATTTTTGGTCTCAATTTGGTCCCAAACTAATTAATTGGTTTCAATTTAGTCCCAAATTAATTAATTAGTTTCAATGTGGGACTTCCGTCCAAATTATTTAAATGGAGTTAACTTTTGGCCACATGGTCCATGGATAATATGGGATACTTACTTTTGGATGAGACTTTCTAATTTCTAACTCAGAATTATATAATATTAATTGGATGTTTCATATGGGCATAACACATCAAATCCCATATATGATGCGTGAAGGAGATCAAATGATCTTCAATATGGAGCAGTTGGGAGCACTTTCACAGGGGAGAGGTAGCTAGAAAATGGAGTTCACCAAAAATGGGGGTTGTTGGAGGTTAAAGACAATGGAAAGCATGGAAGGTTTGTGCTCTCAGAGTTTATTAAAATATGTCGGGTATTATTTTACCCGATATAAAAGGTTTCATCTATGTCGAGCGAGTCAACACTCTTCATAAAAAAAGTTTTGATCAATTACAATTATTGACTATACACCAACATATTCTATGACAAATGTTGGCTCACCCTACATAAAAAAACTTTTCTATGTCAAGTGAAATAACAATTGACTTAGAAGGTTTTTCCATATTTACAACTGAGTCATTGCATCACTTTCTACATGTGTGGATTGAATCTAACATAAATTCTTCATTATAGAAAGTCCTTTTTACTCTAGTGACATGTAGATTATCTAAATAATGTGTTAAAAATTGTATCTAGGCTTAATTTTTTAATAATTATATTTAAATTATGTTTTATTGAAACTAATGTTGATTAGTTGATTTCTACAATTCTCTTAGGAGTATATTCTAATGGAATGTTTTATTTAGATATATTATGTAAATTAATCTAATATTTATTACATATACATAAAAAAAATATAAATATAAATAAATAATATATGTTTTAATATATAAATTTTATTATTTTATTATTTTATATAAATAAATATTTATAAAAATAATATATATAATGACGCATTTAAAATTATTAAATTAAATTTATAAACATATATAATAATAAATACACATTGAAATAGATAAAATGTTTAAAATTTTTCTAAAATTCCTTTCATTAAAAAAAGTGTCTAATAATACTCTCATAAAACAAAAACTCTTAAAAATTCTCCCGAAATAATTATTTATATTTAGTTTATATGAATGGATTATTAATTGTTTTCTTTAATTAATTACTATTCACAATTTTAGTATAGTTCATCAAATGCATTACCTATTTTCCTATTCAAAAAATGTATATTATGTTTGCGTAATACACAAGTAGTTTTTAATTTGTCCAAAAATATGCACAGTTTGAGATTGATAAATTTGCATAAAAATATATTACTAAGTCTCTATTTTTTTTTGAAGAAAAACAATTAAATTGAATTTTTTTATATTATTTTTATGTGCACAATTAATTAGGATGATAATATTGCCTTGATCAGGGAATGCTACCAAAATTTTCTTAGATGAAGAATAAAAGATAATCTAACGTGAATTTAACAATTTTAAATAGGATGGGACCACACTACCTTGCGTATATATAGTTGTGTGTTAAGCATGTAGTTAGCACTATAAGCAAATGATGAATGTTATCTTGAAATTTCTTTCAAAACATTGGGATAAAAGTTAAATAAATGCCAGACACAAAAGTGAAGAATATAAGACTCAAGTGGAAGCTTTTTTGGAATTTACTATAAAAAGAAAATATTTCTCATAATAATAGGAGTTTCTTTTATCCTCGTGTAAAACATTTAAATCAGTGACTAAATGTTATAGAAATAAGAGAATATATACTTTGTGACGAGTTTTGCAATAGTTGCACAAAACAAATATGCACGATGAATTATTACAAATTTGTTCTATTGAGTGAGCCCTAAAGTTTTGCACAAAATATAGATATGTATGATCAGATAAAAGACAACATTCATGAGATTGATGTAGAATTCTTTGAGTGGAAAAACAATTGGTGCACTGATGTCGACACCACTATACTTCGGTTGTAATAATTCTTCTTGATTATTATTTATACGTTGAAATTGTGCAATTTTTCAAAACAAAACAAAAGGGTGGAGTAATAATAGTCTTACAAAATTGTTGAGTTTTTTTTTTTAAATGCTTCCTATATATGAAAAATACATTTCCATGACGTAAGGAAAATACTCTACCCAATAAATATATGATATTAAGATATGCATGATTGTCGTGGCAAAGAATATTGTGGAGGAATGTATTTATTTTTAAAAGAAAGTTGTGATAAAATTATTTTATTTAATATATAATTCATATTTTATATTAAATTTTAATAATTAAATTATTAAATTTATTTTTTTTAATACATAAATTAATTATGTAAATTTTTAAAAAAATTTAAAAATCATAAATTAATGTTATATATATATGTGTGTGTATATATCCACATACATACATTACATACATACAGAAGAGAAATTAGTTTACTTCAAGAATAAATTTACCTAGACTTATTACTCAATGACTTATATTTTATATCAAATTTTAATAATTTAATTGTTAAATTAAAAGTTTTTAATGCATAGATTAATTTTGCAAATTTTTTAAAATTTGAAAACCATTTATTCATTTCATTAACTCAAATTGATAAATAATTATATATGTATATGTGTGTGTGAGATGAATGATCTATTTCCTGTAAGAATAAGTTTATTTATATTTACTCCACTTAATAATCCATATTTTACATTAAATTAAACAACTCAACTATTGAATAAAAAATTCTTGATACATAAATTAAGTCTACAAATCTTTTAAAAATTTGAAAATTATTTTTATTCTTTGTTTTATTAATTTGAATTGATGGATAATCATAAAATTATTTTATATATTGATTTGAATTAATGAAATAAAGTATTAAATAATTTTCAAATTATTTAAAAAATTAATTTATGTAGAAAAAACTTTTAAAACATTGAATTTTTTATTGTTGTGGATTTGTAAGATAGGTCACTTCATGACTAAGACAAAAACATAATGGAACGAGCCAACCACCATTTTCCAAGGAATGGGTTGGATCGATATAATATTCACCTCGTGTTCACCACTACGTCTTTCAAACTCCAAACCAACCACCTTTCTTCCATGGATAATATGGGATACTTACTTTTGGATGAGACTTTCTAATTTCTAACTCAGAATTATATAATATTAATTGGATGTTTCATATGGGCATAACACATCAAATCCCATATATGATGCGTGAAGGAGATCAAATGATCTTCAATATAAAATCCATTTTTGGATATACTGACACATCAAATCCCATATACATACTCTCAAATTATTAACCACTCATATATATTTTATTTAAATTATTTTTATCATTTTTTTAATAAAATTAACGGAATCGTAACTTTATATATATATATTATGATTAAGATAAGATAAAATATAATGAAATATATAGAGAATACTCATTAATATCTACTATTTAATCTACATCTTTCTTTCTCTCTCTATATATAAAGTGGGATAGTGTAGAGTATTTGTTTTCCTAATAAAAAAATAAGGTACTTTGATCATTAATTTATTTAGACAACTAAGGATATTAAATTTTAAAAATAAGTATTTTAAATATAAAATAGGTGTTTCAAATACAAAATATTAGCTAATTATTTTATATTTTAATCAGGCATTAATGGTTACTATTGCTTATTAAATAAGTTAAATCGAAAATATTAGTCAACTTTTAATGACTATTATTTTCGATAATTGTGACTATTTTTTTTTAGAAATTATTTGTATGTCACAATTATGAAGATAAGAAGATGAAAGGGCAGTCAGAGTTCACTGATTATATACTCTTATTGGTAGGACCAATTAAAAAAGAAGAGGGCGAAATATGGAAAACTCTTAGCAATAGTTAGGTGGAGATGAAAAAGTTAAAGAAAAGATTTCTTCCTTCAAATCATTACATGTACCTTCACCACAAATTTCAAAGCATCACACAAGAGAGCAAAACTGTGGCATAATATTTGTGAGAGATTTTATAATAAACCAAAGACAGTATTAATTCATGAAAATGTGTCTTTAATAGTCATGAGATTATGGTTATAAGATAAACAGTATAATAGTTATGCAAGTTATCTAAGTAAAAATAGAAGAAGAGTTGAGATAATGCAATAGTGGAATTTAGTAAATTAATCTGAGTCATATATAAAGGATTAAAATGAAAATAAAAAAGTAAAAATAATGAATGACTAGAAGTTACAATCATGTACGTAACTTGAATGGTATTGTGGTCCTCTTTTGCAGTAACCCCTTCTTCATTCATCCATGTTTATGAACATTGATGAAAGGAGAGAGGTAGCGGGGTGTGTCAGAGGTGTGTGTTTGTTTGTTTGTTGCCTCTCGGATTCATTTGGATTAACCTTTTTTACATCAAAACCAATCAATTTCGTTCAAACCCTTCAACACAATTCCAATGGCTTCTTCTCTCAGTCTCTCCACTCCTCCTCTCTGTCGCCCTAGGTCTGTTCCATTTCAACGCTGCATAAATCATTTCCCTTTATTTATTTATTTATTTATTTATTTATATATGTTCATGTTTTGTTCTCATTTATTTTAGTTTAACTGGATACTGGATAGGGTGATAATTTGATGTTTCAAGCTAACTCTGGTGTAATAATACTTATCTATCACTTAAAGCTATAATTTTCAGTTATGAATTATGGGTTGAATGGAGTTTCTTAGTTTATGGCCATTTAGTGAATAAAGCTTTGCATTTTAACTGTGTTGAGCATATACGTGTGTGGATTCAATCTAGCAAGCTCAATTTCTGGATCTGGGGTTTTTATATCATTATATGTACATCTTTGTGTGTGTCTGTGATGATAAATTTTCGATGTCACAATTGCTGAATGTAGGGTATGCAAACATTTCAAATTGTTCAATGGGTTGCTCAAGTTCTCATTCAGTGGACATGGGTTGGATTTGGCTGCTGTCAAACTCAACTCTAAAGTCCCCAATGCTGTAATTAAAGCTAAATTGACCTCTGGAGGAGGAGCCTTTGGAACACTGGGAGCAGACACAGCTGTGCCAGCAGGCAGTGGTTTTTCTGATGACGATGACGACGATTATGACTTTGACAGTCCAACAGAAGGTTTTGCTTCCATACCTGAGGCCATTGAAGATATTGGGAATGGAAAGGTTGTTACTTTCTCTATGTTTGGGTTCTGTCTTTTTCCGTTTAGTGCTGGGGAGGTTTATAGTGTGAAAGGTTTAACTAACATTAGTGCTTCAGATGGTGGTGGTTGTAGATGACGAGGACAGAGAAAATGAAGGAGACTTAATAATGGCGGCGCAGTTAGCCACACCTGAAGCTATGGCTTTTATTGTGAAGCATGGAACTGGGATAGTTTGTATAAGCATGAAGGAGGAAGATTTGGAGAGATTGGAGCTTCCTTTGATGGTAAACAGTCGGTATAATGATGAGAAACTTCGGACAGCATTCACTGTGACAGTGGTATGTATTCTTTGGTGCTTGCATCATTTATCTGGAGTTAGTCCTGTATCTCTCTCATCAAGGTCTTCCTTTGTTACATTAGCTGAAAACACTACATGTCATTGCCCAATGAAATAGATACTCAGATCGTCAACTTTAGGGAATAATTTGTCTCATCTAAGTTTAATATAGTTGGATAAGCCATATAGTCGGTGAAGAATTTAGTGCAACTTCATTACATTTAATATCTTTTATATCCAAATATTTGAGGGTCGTTTAATCATTTATCAGGATGGCATCATGTCAACAATGATGATTGAAATTTAATCATTTGTTATGTTGTGGTAGGAATTGTTTCTTGGTGTTATTCAGGAATTTATTAGTGTTATTTCTATATTTTAACCCTTTTCCTTGTATTTGTAGGATGCTAAACATGGTACTACCACCGGGGTGTCAGCTCAAGATAGGGCAATCACAGTCGTGGCCCTTGCTTCCAAAGATTCTAAACCAAGTGATTTCAACCGTCCAGGCCATATTTTCCCACTAAAATACAGGGAGGGTGGTGTGTTGAAGAGAGCTGGACATACAGAAGCTTCAGTTGATCTTGCCATACTTGCTGGTTTGAATCCTGCAGCAGTTCTGTGTGAGATTGTGGATGATGATGGTTCCATGGCTAGATTACCTAAGCTTCGCCAGTTTGCAGAGCGTGAAAATTTAAAAATTGTATCTATTGCTGACTTGATAAGGTATGCGTTTATGTTTCAAGGAAGATGTAATAAAGTTCATTGTATGCATGCTTATGATATCTTTTAAGTAAGCTTTCAGCTACATATACCGTAATTTATATCCCCTGAGTTGTCTTTCTTTGATACTTTTGACTTTTGATGTTACTGCAACCAATTCCTATGATTGCTAATGAGGTATATTTGGTTTAACTTATTTTTTTTTTATTAATTTTCACTCAATGGATTTTCCATATAACATTACAAAACCGGAATTCTATTTTGTTTATATTCCATTATATGTCCCTGAATTAGAGTCTCCTTAAACAAAAGAAAATAAACAATTATGAACGATTAGAATTTTCTCATTAGTTATTTGTTTTTTATGCTTTTATTTCTTTTGTTCCTTACGTAAGTCTCCTTTACCTGGTTATGCTGCCTGGATACTTTTGTTGTATAGCAGAGAAATTGACACTTATTTTTGTTGCAGGTATAGAAGGAAGAGAGATAAACTAGTAGAGCGTGCTGGTGCTGCACTAATACCAACAGTTTGGGGGCCATTTGCTGCTAACTGCTATAGGTCACTTTTAGATGGGATTGAGCATATTGCAATGGTTAAGGTGAGCAAAGCTTGTGTTTATTTTGAACTATAATATGTAGTAACATCTGTGTACATTCTTGTTAATTGTACTGAATCATTTTAAAGAAATAGACGAGGAAAAATATGTGAGAATGAAAAGGATACCAATATGGTAGAACTTGATTTAAGTTCAACTGGCAGCTTCTTCTATTTTAATCATACCGCACTGCAATATAAATTGTCATGCTTCAATCCAGCCTTTTTTTTGGAAGGGGAGATTGATATTGTCAAAGTTCTGTCTCTGAAAATTAATATAAGAGGAACCGAGGATGGAATGTATTGTTTAAAATATTTTGAGTCATGCTGCTGCTTTCCTAAATTGAGATGAACTCTTTTCTTTCTCTTTTTCATGCCTGCTTTGGGGGCAGGGGGTATTGGAACTCGGAAGCTCAATTCATTATGTCCAGTAAGAGTTACAAACTAACCACATCTGTACTTTGTTTGATTCACTAGCCCTTCCAAATACATACACAGGAACATTGAACAGAAGCTAAAGATATTAACATTGTTGGGATTGGATGCCTTAAGATATTAAATTTCTTCCTACATACAAACTATCTGCCTACTACCTAGTCTATAAGTTCCAAAAAATCTCAAATAGCCGGAGTAAATAATTTATATGCTTCTAGGTGAGTGTTGCTATTTTAAGGAAAGGAGGATGTTCGAGAGTACAAAAATAAATTTCAAATAGCTGCCTTGTCCTTTGCCAGTGAGTGTGAGATAGCTTTAATTTCAGTATAGTGGTCCTGATACCATAGTAGAATTTCAAAACTCTGGCTTCAACAGAATATGAGTTAGAACTTAGAAGCCTGAGCAGGTTGATGAATATTAATAATTTTGTTGAAATGGAATGAGAAAGGTAAAGAAGAGCTTCTCCATTTCCCATGATCCACAAATATAATCCACCAATGGGTCAACTATGAATTGAGGTCAGGCCACTAATGCCCCTGCAAGAGATTGAATAAAGTCCTGGGCAGTCATACAGATCCATTTAGACTTGGATGTGTTAACCGGGAAATGACATCTTATTTTGAGTTAAAGGGATGTTTGGAAGAATTTATGTGAAACTTATTTGGGCCTGTGAAAATGACTTTCCGACTCAAAAGTTCTGTTTAGCTTATTTTAGTAGATTTCTTAGTGAAACTTGTCAAAGTACACTCCTTTTAGCTTGCAAGTTTCATGATTGAATTTATGGCATAAGCTCTCTCCTATGATGAGAGTTTATTAAATATGTGCTTAGTTAATCTATTTATCTAAACTATTGGGACCAAAAGCCAAACTTTTGAAGTATAGGGACCAACATCATAATTGAGGTAAACGTTAGGGATTAAAAATGCACGTAAATCATTTAAACTAACTCTGTCAGTGTTTTATCAATGGGATAAATTGATGGTGTTCACCCCTATTTTTCATCATTTTTCCTTCAAGGTGTTTGTTTGCAAGTGTATAAGCCAGAAGGATTTGCAAATTGGCAATTTTTTCAAATTATCTTGATCTTTTCCATTTTAGATTTTTAAATTGCTTGATTTGATAGTAACTTACAGACAATTTTTGTGATTTTTGACTGTTTATTGTTTAACAGGGTGAAATTGGGGATGGACATGATGTTCTTGTGAGGGTACACTCAGAGTGTCTCACGGGAGACATATTTAAATCTGCTAGGTGTGACTGTGGAAATCAGCTTGCTCTTGCAATGCAACAGATTGAGGCTGCTGGTAGAGGTGTTTTGGTATATCTTCGTGGACACGAAGGACGTGGTATTGGGTTGGGACACAAACTACGTGCCTATAACCTACAGGATGATGGAAGGGACACTGTAGAAGCCAATGAGGAGTTGGGGTTGCCTGTTGACTCAAGGGAGTATGGAATTGGTGCACAGGTAATTATAGTAAAAAGGCTTAAATGACTGGAAAATTGAACATGTTATACCCACTTGATTCTTTCCCACAGTCATTTTTTTGTTCATGTGATTTACTATGATATGGAAGTTCATTGGCATGATATATCTGTCGCAACATAGAATTCCAAATGTTCTATTTTATTGCATCGAGATAAAAGGCTGGAACTTGATATTGCACTTGCAGATTTTGAGAGACTTGGGTGTTCGTTCTATGAAGCTAATGACAAACAATCCGGCAAAATATGTTGGGCTCAAAGGTTATGGCTTGACAATTTCCGGTAGGATCCCATTGTTATCACTTATCACAAAAGAGAACAAGCGATACTTGGAAACCAAACGTGTGAAAATGGGCCACGTATATGGCATGGATTTTAACAGCAAATTGAATGATCTAGACAGTGGCAATGGTAAAATCAACAGTGGTGATGATTCTAATGCTGCTCCTGGCTTATAAACCTGTTTTTTATATCTTTCTGCCAGAGACACAATTTTATGTCACAACCAACAAAGAGGAAGTGTAAATTTCCTTACTACTGATGGATTTAAAAAGAATGAGGAGTCTACTGGTGATTTAATTTTTCTAATTCATTTGCCTGACTTTTCTTCTGGCAGGCTCTATAAATTAGGCTTCCTTGAACATTCCTCCCTCTGAAACACTATCAAGTGCCATGTAATGTATATCATAGATGATAGATGAGGGCATTGCCTAGACAACTTTAAGGTTGACTTTCTTGCTTTCTTTTGTGTTCATGATATATAAAGCTGCGTGCTTTTGTGTAGTTTCATTTTACAAAAGCGAGTGCTTTTGTAGAGGTTCACTATATGAATGAAGGTGCAATTTTTGTCAAGGTGGTTTGTTGATAGTGAAATGGGGTAGGGGTAATTAATTGCTCTAATTCAATGTATACTCATAGTAATATTTTTTTTTTAATTGAGGATTAATGATGATTGTGAATTTGTTACAACAAATTGGATATCATAAAAGAAAGTTGAGCTTAATAATTAAAAAAGTGAAATGAAAGCATAATTTACAAAACAACAACCTTAGTATGATTTTTCCCGCCTTTTCTTTGCTAGGGATGTTTCATCGCTGCTGACAACGTGAGATGATTTTCTTTGGGGCAAAAATTATTAAGGTAGATATTGTCTTATTTAACAAAGTTATTTTCACACATAATCAAGAATCAGCTCTTGTATTAACATAATATTTGATTGAAGAGAAGTGGAGAAAAAAAGAGGAAATTATATTTTATTTTTAAAATTTTATTATTTGATTTAATTTTTAAGAGGAGAGCGAAAATTCTTTCCATAAGATTTAAAACATTTCGAGTGTAAGTAATGTATAAAATATCTATACTTATGATTTTGAATTTAAAATAATAAAAATATAAAGATAAATTAATTTTAAAAATCATCCTTTCTTCATGAATTAAATAAGAAAAAGTTACATCTCATTGCCTCTTTTAAAATCCTTCACCTTACTTCATCTCTTTTGAATCATACAAAATCTAAACTTGTTATTATATTATCTTTTCATCATTAACAATCGAACTTAATATCAATGAATTATAACAATTAATGCACTCTACCCAATCATATGAGTGAGGTAATCTTATCATGTTTTTCTATTGTTACAAAGATATAAGAACAAATGAAAAGAAACATAATTATGATAATTACTAGTTTTATTAAATAATAACACAAACGTATTTCTCCTATCATAAAATATTCGTTGTACCTTAATTTAAAGAATTTAGTTTTGAGAAGATACGTAGTTTTTGTTAACATTATTATTTAATTTTATATTAAGACCTCTTTATTAAGTTGTGTTATATGTCAAACTTTTCAATGGTAACATATTATAAGTGTAAAATTATTCATAATAATATTCCATAGTCTCTTATATATTAAACATTAATTATTACGTTTTCTAAAAATTTTCTCTGACGAGAGTTTGAAGAATTTTTAATTTTTTTTCTAGTTCAATTTTTATTTATCATAATTATTTATAAATTAAATATTAATATTTTAAAATAAATTATCAATAAATAAAAATTATTTTATACTAAAATATAAATTATTTGTCATAAATATAAATATAATTTATATGTTTAAAAATATATATTTATATAAATTTAAAATATAATTTATA